TTTGCTGATGTATTGTGCAGTATTTGAAGTCCTAGCCACAATAAAGTGGCAAGAGAAGGAAATGAGAATTTAAGTCAGCATTGGAGTAGAAAGTGTAGCTGCCAGTATTTCTACATAATAACTAATTGTCTCCTTGGAAGAGTTAAGAGAACCACTCAAGCCTGTTAAGAAGTCCATGAAATTTCCAGGAAAATAGTTACTACTTGGCAATATATGATTAAAACATGTAACTGAAATAGAAATAAGAGTATTGACAAGAGAAACAAGTAGTCTATGTGAAAAAAATCTGTAAGTCTTAAAAACACACACACAGAAACTCCAAGATCTGAAAATAAGCAGTTTTATAGCACATCCAAGCAAGAAAGATCTCATATGTCCGTTTTCTGAAAATTAAAAGATAAATTTATGCAGTCTTGCTGAATTGCCTAATAGTTTTATTTTAAATGTAATCTTAAAAGAGTTTTGTGGCATCTCTTTTGAAGAATAAAACATTATCGTATATAACACACAGTAAGACATTTTGAAGAATAGTAACTGGTGGGACTGGTACTTGCCCTAGAGATAATGAAACATAAAATCCAGTTGTGACATTAAAGCAGTATAGGCTAATGGAATAGGAGTAGACTAAGAAATTATGGTAGAACAAAGTTGAGGGTCCAAGATTATTTTCGTAGGTATTTTGAATATAATTGTTTGGTGTTTGAAGTCTTCTCTTTTTAGAGAGATTTTTGCTATATGGTGCGTGCACTCACCAGAGAGACAGAAAGTGAGAAATCATCCCCCAGGGGAGATGGCCACACTGCAGTCCCTTCTCCTCCATTCTCCTCTCGGGATTTTGGGCATGCACGCACACGCACCTGGCATGAGTTTTAAGCCCCTGGGTCTGGGACTTGAGCTGTGCTTGACTACGTGCGAGTCCAGCAACATAACCATTATGTCAACTGCTGGTGCCAGTATCTGAAGTCATAGGAGAATATTTGGGCTGCGTAATAAAGGATGTTGGCTAAGGTGGTTATACATTTTAGATAAAACAAAGATAAGAATTTCATAGGGGACCAGCAGTTACCATAATGGCTATGTCGCTGGACTCCCACGTAGTCGACCGCGGTTCGAGTCCCGGACCTGGTGGCTTAAACTCATGCTGGGCGCGTGTGCGTGCGTGCCCAAGATCCCTAGAGGAGAATGGAGGAGAAGGCATTGCGGCGTGGCCATCCCCCTGGGGGGTGATTTCTCGCTTTCTGTCTCTGTCTCTTTCTGTCTTTCTGGCAAGCACACGTGCCCTATAGTAAAAACCTCTCCAAAAAGAAGAAAAAAGGATTTTATAGAGTAGTGAATGACATGAATATAATTATTTATGTTAGAAGAACATGTCAGAAATAGATCTCTAGTCATTGGGGTAATACGTTTTGTCAAGGCAGGAAAAGTCCAAAACAAGAATTTAAATTTGTCACATGAATGCATGTGCTTTTCTGAGTTTTATAAGTTTGTCTTGTTTAAGTTACATGAGGAGGATTCATGATAACTGAGTTCTTGAGAAACTACTGAATTGTGAAAGAAAATGAGATGATTATAAACAAATTACAGACTGTCATATAAAGGTGTTACCCCATTTTGGGGTATCAGTAGCCCACGGATACATGACACGGTGTGGCGGTTAGGTACTAGGTGAGTCATTTCAGGCTGCAGGGCTCATTTCCTCCTCTTTGAGGCGGAAGTAACCCGAAACATCAGGCCCCAAATAAGGGCCACGACTGCTGGGATTCGCCATGGTCGCCGCATTCTGGCAGCGGGTTACACATCAGTTTGTTATGTCATTGGTGTCTCAGAGCACAGATCGGGGCCCCACTTCAGTGTGTGCTGTCCCAAAAGTCTAAACACTCGTCAAAAAGAAACTCAGTTGGAATCCATTTCTCAGAGTATGATGGATAAAGAAGAATGTCTCACCAGGCTTGGTGGAAGGGAGTTAGAAGGGATGACAGTGGGTGGGTGCCTCCCTTCCATGTGACTTAATTCTCATGCCATCCCGTGGAGTTTGAAACGAGTAGTATTTTCACGGAGTGAGAAACTTGAGGGTCAAAGAGGGTGAGTAATTTTCCCAAGGAGAAATAGCTGGTAAGTGGCAGATAGGGATTTGAACCCTCACAGTCAGATCTTGGAGCCTGCGTTCCTAGCCTCTGCCCCCACAGTTGATCTCAGGTTGGATGCCTCAAGGGCACGTCAGATTGGGGGGGAGGGGGTTTTGTTTGTTTGGTTTTTGGGTTTTTTTTGAGAGGTTTTTGCTGCAGGGCATGTGCACTCCCTAGAAAGAGAGAGGCAGAGAGACAGAAAGCGAGAAATCACCCCCCAGTGTGGATGGTCACGCCGCAATCCCTTCTCCTCCATTCTCCTCTCGGGATCTTGGGCACGCACGCGTGTGCACACGCGCCCGGCATGAGTTTATGCCGCCGGGTCTGGGACTCGAACCGTGGTTGGATACATGGGAGTCCAGTGACATAGCATTACTCTAACTGCTGGCCCCAGATTCATTTTAATTCAAAGCTGAACTTTGGAGTTTTGCTCAACTCCAACCCTCTCCTTGGTATTTCTAGTGTTTCTGTTTTGTTAAATGCTTTCCCCTTTCATCTGATTGCTAAAGCCAGAAACCTGGTTCATGATCTGAACCTTCGAGTTCAGGCGTTCCTCAGTTCAGTCCCCGCCCAGCTTCTTTTAAAGTTTACTTCTTAATAGCTCTCTGCTCCTGTCCCTTCCCCGTGTTTCTCCCAGCTGCTCGCCCAGCCAGGCCTCTTGTGTCCTGGCAGGACTGCAGCATGTGCTCGGCACCTTTCCCTGTCCACTTGCGTGTGCCCTCCCAGTGCAGCAGCCTGGTGTTCCCTGCTTGGCTTTGTGTGTGCACATGTGTGTACCTGCTGTACACTCCTCCAGGCAGACTAGACTGTGAGGACACTGGCCCATGCTCGCCACTCCTGCCACTCACTTCCTCCTCTCAGCCACAGCCTCAGGGGAACCGCGACTAGTGAGTGGGCCTGCCCTGCAGTTCCCACTGCCTGGAATTCAGTTCCCCTCCCCTGCTTCCACACACTCCTACTTACCCTCCTAAATCTCCATGCGAACAGCGCCCCGGCCTGACCTGGGCAGCTCCGGACACGAGTCCCGGCAGCGCCTCTGCTAGCATGTGAAGTGTTTGCAATTGTGCACTTTCTTGATGGCCAGCATTTGCCTTTGACTCCAGTTTCTTGAGGGCCGAGCACGTGCGCCAGCTCAGTGTATGGAACCGGGTGAGCACGTCTAGTCCGGCTACCTGCCTACTTCCCGGGGAGCTGAAGCGGAACCGAGCGCGCCGCTCACCAAGCGAAGGTTGTTACTGAACTCCGAGTCTTGGTTTCTTCACCTGTGAGCGAAGGATAAGAATAGGGCCTGCCTCCTGGGTCTTTGTGGGGGTTATGAGTGAGCACTCCTAAGGCGCCGGGAGCAGTTTCTGACACGTCCTCGAGTGTCAGGTAGTGGTAGCAGTTGTCGTTTGTGTCATTCAGCAGAGCCTGTCATGGTCCCACTCTCCATGCTTTCTTCCACGTATATGGAGAGTTTGGGAATTCTTGTGAATTTATTCCATTGTGCGTTGAAGTTCATCTTGTACTTCCTTTTAAAAATGAGTGTGCACAGCAGCTTGAATAGAGGAGTCGTGTTGTACATTGTCTTAAGTTAAGCCAATTCCGAGCGTGGATTATACCCGTCCCCAGCCCAGTGGAAGGCATTTCTGATGTACAATGAAAATTTGTGCCTACTGAGGAGACAGGAAGGTTAAACACAGGTTGTAGAGAACTTTGAATTCCAAATTAAGGTCTTTGAATTTATATATTTTGAAATAATAAATAACTAAAGGATTTTAAGCAGACGGTGAATTTTATGCATAGTATTGCTTTTAGAAAATTGATCTGGGGTCAGCCTGTGGCGTGGTTGTTGGGGCAGCTGGATACCACATAGTCGGATACACGGTTCAAGTCCTGTACCTGGTGGCTGGAGAAACATGCTGGATGCATGTGCTTGGATGCCCAAAACCCTGAAAAGAGAGGTGAGAGGGGGTTGCGGCGTGACGTCCCCCATGGCTGGTCTTTCTTGCTTTCCCTCCCTGTCTGTCTCTCCCCAGTGGGGGTTGCGGTGTGACCATCCCCATGGAGGGGGGTCTTTCTTGCTTCCCCTGTTTGTCTCTGTGTCTTTCCGCAGTGGACGCACACATCGCTGGCAAAGTAGAGGACTAAACGTGACCTGACTGCTGCTGTTGGAACTGGAGGCCGTGTTTAGACGAACATCTCTGCTCAAATTAGTGACAGTTTAGAAGGGAGAGCTGGGTTTTGTGGAGAGAGAGTGGGCTTTGTTTTGAATACATCGTATTTGAAGTGCATGTTGGACTTCTAAGTGGAAATGCTCTTAGGTTGAGTGTGTGGGATACAAGGTGGGAGAGAAGCCTGGGATGGAAAACTATTGTATGACAGAGTGAGATTAGCAGAGAGACCACATGGTATCTGCATGTGACCTGGGTTCTTGGCTGTTTACCCTGTATACCTGAAGATGATGGGACACATTTTAAATAGTATGCTGTAATTTAGAGCTTTCTCTAGTAAGTCTGACCTTCCCTCTAGTCTGACTTAAAGATGTAAAGTTTAGTAAAATGTGGCAAACCACGTGGGTACTTAAGAGATCATTGAAGGGGACACGATGTCATGAAGCTCTCCCCTTCCAAGGCTGAAGGAGAACATGAATGTTAAGCACTAGGCTGACCTTACAACTGTTAGAAATGCGGTGCTCTGTGGGTATGTGCTTACCTGAAGGGGAGCTGCACGTGACAATCATGCTCCAGCTCAAGTAGTGACCCTCAGCAGGTGGGAGGTGTGTCAGTCTTAGGTAGCGCGCGTCACGGCGTCCGCGTTCTCTCAGTACCTCACTAACTCAAGTGCTTGTGCTTTGTTTTTTTATTTATTTTATTTTTTTCCCCCTGAACCTAGGAATTGTGGTGCTTGGAATAAACAGAGCTTATGGCAAAAATTCACTCAGTAAAAATCTTATAAAAATGGTGAGTGTAAAGATTAAACCCTTCACTTCTGCTGTTGAGATACTGTGTTGACACTGATCTAAAAGCGATGTTTCCTTCCTTTCTCCTTGCCCGCCCTGTTTGTGTCCAGCTATCCAAAGCTGTGGATGCTTTAAAATCGGATAAGAAAGTGCGGACTGTGATCATCAGGAGCGAAGTCCCAGGGGTATTCTGTGCTGGTATGTAAATGTCTTCTATTGTGAAATCAAACCGCAGTCTTCTTTTTCATTGGCAGTAGCCTGCTTTCCAAGTAGAGTGTGGTGGTTTGAGCCCCACTACCCACAACTCCTCTTTCATCTGTTTTATTTGTACAGCAGATAAAGAAACTAATGCATTCAGTCCTCCAGCATTAAAAGAACCTTTGCAACGTGGGAACTTGGAAAAATACTTTGGGCCACTAAAAGTACTTGTTTATGGTACCTGAATAATATTTCTGAAGCATCAGCTGGGGAGGACAAGTTGGGTCTTCCACCACAGCATTGTGCTTAGTAGTTGCCCCAAAACTTGAGTTGTCCCTTACCAAGTGTGAAGTATAGACACTTGCTTTAAAGACTGGAGTTCTCATAGTACCCCAATAAACATATGTCCATGGGCTTGGTGTCTAGGTTGACACTGATAGCAGCGCAAGACCTGTGACTCATTCATGTATTTCCAGGGTTTTTGGTTTGTTTTGTTTGTGCTGCATTGGCCAAAGCTAAAGATCGTTATGTTGCATTTTCCTTATTTCTAAATCAGGATATTGGTTGAATCTGTTTAATCTAGTAAAAAATAGAAGTGATTAAGATAGAAAGTAGTGATAATATATATGCATTATATCATTGTAATTACCTAATGAGGGTGTACAGGTATTTGTTGAGTACTTAGGGTGTACCAGGGCAACCCTGAGAACATGAGAGGGGGTATTTCTAGACAGATGTTTCTAGAGAGATCGTATTTGTGGCCACTTTTCCTCAGTTTCTTACTTAAGGGTCCTGAGGTTTTCTTAAAGCTTCAATCTTTGTGGCTTTTACCTTAAAGTACTGCAGAATTTTATGTTTAGGGACATTCAGTATAAACGAGTTGTATTTTGGCTTTTGTTACGATTTCATTGCTTTCTTAAAACGTAATGTAGCATACTTAACAGGCTATCAACTGCAGCTGGGTAAGCAGCGTGTAGAATTACTACCCTCTGCTGCCTGGATGATGGCGTTCTGTGCCACAGGCTTCTGTCTTCAGTCTATCCATCGTGAAGCGTGCTGTCTGCCTAGTGGGATTGTTAGACACAGATGTGACAGTGCATCAAGCGACTGGCAAAATTAAAAAATGTGTTTATACATAGAGCTGAGCTTCTCTCTTTATCATGCATATACACACACTCACACACAAAGGAAAGCTGAAATAACTTGCTGTTTCAAAATGTTTAGGTAGTCAGAATTGTATTACTGCGTCTGTAACAAAATCAGGGAAAGTCCCTGTGGTGAGGCTGTTGGATGTGAATGTGTAATCACAGCCCTAGCCCTCTGTTTAGCTCTGTGCTCTCACTGTCCTCAGACTAAGTGGCAAAGTGCAAGCACGTCATTTTTACCATAGCATTTTTGAAGTGAAATTTTATGAGAAATTGCTGAGACTGGGGATTTTTTTTCTCCAAAGTTCCTAAAATAGATGCTAAACAGTTCTTGGTAATTGATTCCTGTACGTAGTACTCTTAAGTTGAGTGGTTCGGTTAGTTATAACCGTGTCGGTTTTTAAAAAAGTAAAGGTAGTTTTGCTTCTGCTTTTTAGTTCTAGTAAATTGTATTATGACTAAGAACTTCTCACTAAAATTGTCAACGTGCGTTATTCAATATTGTTCGTGTTATTTAAGTAGATCCAGATGTCATGACACGGAGATACGTGTGGGAGCTTCTGTCTGACTAATGACTAATGAAGTAATGATTCAGTATTGTTTAGGAAGCCTAGATTGTTAGACTTCTGGACTTGAATATTAGCCCTCTAGAGACATTGGCAAACAAAGGAAGGAATGATTAACCATACATTTGTATTAGTTTGGCATGGCAATAAGGGTTCTTTTGTTGTTTTTTTGTTGTATATATTTTTATGAAATTAAAAAGAACTTTGTTATTGAAGTGTGAATTATTTGCAATAAAATTTACAAGTTTTAATTTTGGAGAACTAATTTTTAATTTTTTTCTTTCTTGCATTCGAAATATTCTTAGATGACATCCTTGATCTGAGATTCCTTGCCATAGTTCTTAACACAGCTGCAACCACCCACTTAATGGAGTTTTCCCTTGTCAAGTTTAGAGGCCTGCCCATTCCCCTGGTTTCTTGATGTCATCAACCTTAATCAGTGATGTTTGGTACGAAGGGTGTTTGGTATGAAGGGCCTCCACCAACCTGACATATGTAGGTTTGTCATTGTTGGATGGAAGCATACACAGGTGGTCTTGGCATTTGTCTAAGGCTTTAATGGCTTTGGAATTCCATGTGCTAGGCCACCGTGGATGAGAGCGGTCAAAGCACCTCATGTAAAGCAGTGTTAAAGTCTGTCACACCCCAGCAGCAGTGCCCTCTTTGGGCATGATGTGGGTTCTGAGTAGAGCTGAATCCCGAACACACCTGAGCCTCCATCTCTGCACAACTCAGCACGGCAGCAGGGAAAG